ATCTATTCTTGTCCTGGTGATTTTAAAACAGAATAGCAAGTTTAATATTTTTTAAATTACCGTTTACTACTAGATAAAGATATTAAGTGGAAACACTTTTTAAGATATTATTTAATTTACTATTAAAATATATATTATATCATTTGTAAAGTGTCTTCTTATCTAATTTTAGTCCGAATGATATTCTAATAATGAATTATCTCCCTTATGAGAAATGCACTGTTAGCGTATAAAGCCAGACAATATGCATACGCTCTGGTATAAAAGTCAGTCTGTATTCGCCCTGGTCTTTATCTACATGTCTCATTAAATACGAATGCTTATGGTTTTTAATATAACGCGATGCGATATAAAATGGCTTATCACACACAACAAAAGACGAGTGTTTCTTTCCGACTGTTTTCTCCGGAGGGGCACTTGATAATTTTTCCGGAGGGGGGGGGGGGGGCGGATACTGGAAAAGACGTTCTTCAGTATTCAGGGGGAGGGGGGTATACGTTCTTCGTGGGGGGGGGGGGAGGGGGGAGCTCAACTAGGTAGTCGCTCGGTGTATCACCGGTGTATCGGTGTGGCCGAAAAAAAAACAACAACCCATAAGCGGATGAGAATTACAAATTCTACGCTAACTGGAAATTTTGTTCATTTTATCGAAATAGTTCTGTTTGAAGTATGCTGATGTTTATAACCACGTGACTAAGATAATGGCACATCTCTTTATATTAGGGATATTTTTAATAGATAAAAAGTTCGGAACGTTATTCTATTTGGAGTTAGTTCTACAACAGAAACGTTCTCAAAACAGTTCTAACAATATAGGCTTGGACGAAAACAATAAACCAAAAAAAAAATATGTATTGTTTATTATGTTTTTTTTTTATAACTCCTCTTGGAGTTTTAGGTTTATGTTAATTCTCATACGGTTATGTGAATACAGCATACCATAGTCACAACATAAAATGCAAATAGACCACATTTCGGGTAATGCAAGCTCCTAAGTATCGCTTGAATACTTACAGAGCAATAAAAAACACACAAACAGGGACGCAATTATTTTTTTTTAAACCAGAGAATAGACAATTACGTAAAACTTTGGTAGCTAAAAGATGTTTTGCTATCTCCGGGGAGAAGAGAACGCTCTCTGTGTACTGTGATGGTGCCCAAAAGTTTCAGAGAGTCAACGGGAAATTTACCTAATGGAATAACTAAATAAGTTATGGTAAGGTATAAGATTAGGGGTTCTTTCAGACATTTTATACTCCGAGGTGGGGATGGGGGGGGGGGGGGGGGGGGGGGTTAGGGGATTTGAAAATTCTGGGGGGTGAGGGTATACGGACACAGACTAAAGTATATATTTCATAAATGATTTTTTTTATTATCTCTGGGAGGAGGGGTGAGGGGAGGGAGGGGTACGTGCTAAAGGGGAATGCTTCTACATTCATGTGCTTTAAAACACTGAGATATTGAGTAGGTTCATAGACAGTTGGTTTCAAATGATCGCAGTAAATACAATCACGCACACAAAGACACACACACACAGACATTTTACACACACACACATACACACACATATTATATATATATATATATATATATATATATATATATATATATATATATATATATATATATATATATTATAAATCTTTAAATATCATAGTATGACTTATCACTTGTTGATACGCGACAAAGAATGCAGAAGGACAGCTCGATGTCATCTGACTGTCATTCGACTGACATTTGACTGACATATGAGGAAAAAACCAGAAGCTACACACATAGACTCTAATTGTTAATTAGTGTCCATTATCGTTCATAATTACAATCATATTACAGCCAACATCAGTATTGTCGCGTTTCATAGCTTCATCACAAATTCCATTGACATGTGTTCTCATCCGGAATTCGATTCCAATAGCAGTTTAAAATGTTTAGTAGTACATGCGGGAACCACCATTAACAATGCATTCACGCTAAATAAATACAGCACAGTTTTCCAGACCCAGGAAGGTTCTAGAAAATTCCAGCTCTGCTGGCGACTAATTTCACGCTTGACTGGTGCCAGTTTGACGCGTGTATTCAAACACGCCCAGAGAGGTCACGTGGGTAGATCGAGCATGTCGGGAAGGATTTGCCCGGCCGGGCGTGAAATTAGGTCAACATGACCTACATTAGGAACTTCCGGTTTGATTTGGTTTCATTGTAAATGTTGGATTAAAAGTGCCAGGCTGATCAGAGTTTCTTCAAGGCATCTCTTCCCCCCCCCCCCCGGGAGAAAGTCTACCCCTCACCCCCACCCCCCCGAAAAAAGTCTAACGCCCCCCCACTCCCCGAGCGAAATGGTATTGATATAGAAAATATATACTTTTACCAGTGTCCGCCCCCCGGAAAATGTTGGCCGCCCCCCCCCCCCCCTCCCGACAATGTTGACAGCTCTCCCCCCCCCCCCTGGAGAAAAAAGTCTGGAAGAAACACTGAGGCTGTTGTTTTCAGACAACGTGAATTCCAAGATACGAGGCAGAAGTTGATGAAATTCACTCCGACTAATGGACGGCGTTGTGGGAATCGCTTACGCGAAAGACTCGAGTTTGGATCCAGGTTAGGGGTCGGCGTGGTCGAGTCGGTAAAGCTCATGGTTGATAAATTCGAAAAAAAAGACTCGAGTTCAACCCTCTGTCAGATAGGGCTCGATCCCTTCCAACACTAAACATTAAGAAAACAGAAGAAGAAGAAGAAGGATCTCGGTTAGTCCGTAGGACGTCCCTGAGTCAACTCAGCCCTAATAGGTAACTGGTCCACATTAGAGAAAACAAAGACAGCTGATAGTGATAACCACACTATTCCTTCATATGCCAAGTTCACTGAAACAGGTGAGCTCTACTTCACCTGTCACATGGATCGTCAGGTTCGGAAAGGTAACCTACTGCGACTCGATTCAACCACGCCGTCTTATAGATCTAGTGATCTTTTGCCAGATGAAGTAGAGTTCATATGTTTTATACCACGATATTAAGGGATGGTGTGGTAAGCACTATGCCCAGTTGCCTTTACTTTTCCAATCATCAGCCAGATACCCGATAGAGCTGGGTTGGCCCACAGTCATAAGTCCGCACCGAGATCCGAACTCAAGACCTTCACGCTATTATCCAAGCACTCTACCAGTCGACCACGCCGTCCCACATAGAGCCCCTACTAATACATGTATAACACAGCAGGGTATAACAGCAAAGCCATCTCGTGTAATCGTTGTGTGATCCGTTTATCACATCCGGGGTCTCTTTATTCATCTAGCCTTTACAAGTGGGTGTTGAATATCGATTCAGGATTTTTTTTTTGCTAATTTCTAATTGTTTATTCATTTATGCACGATTCTGGAGTGGTGTTCCCTATTTTTAAGCTTAATTATGAATTATTTAAAATGTGTTAAAAACCCCGCGTTTTAATTTTATGTTCACAAAATTTATCAAATAATCAACGTTATTTTCTGAGCTTGTACCATAAAAACCTATTTCACCTAAAGACAAGTTCTACCAATGTTACACATTTTCAGAATTGAAATCAACAACAGTAGTTATAAAAGTAACAGAATAACGAAAAAAAAATGAACGACTAATAAAAAATACATAAAGTACACTATGTGTTCATTACATAAAGAAAAATGATGAAAAAAAAATTTCTATGTGTAGAAATATGAATACAATGAACTCTCTACCAACACCCCCCCCCCAACGAAATAGACTATATATAGAAAACATAGAAAAGCATAAAAAAACTTTATATAGAAACCAGTGCCCCGCCCCCCCCCCCCCGGAAAATGTTGTCGTCCCCCGTCCACCGTCCACCCCCCCCCCCCCCTGAAAATAACAAGTGTCCCTCTGCAAACAAAAGTCTGAAAGAAACACTGCAATTAATTAACTGACCATGAAGAAGGGTATAGTCCTTTAAGGGTACACGTTAGCTAGCATGATGTGTGTACATAAATATAAATTGCTGGTCCTGCGAATAGCGGTATTTTCTACTCACACCTAACACTGACTTCACCTGTGCTCTAAACCTAAATCCTAATCTTAGCTTCCGGAATATCTCTTTTGGTGAGTTCCGTTACACGAAAATTTGCAATAGGGACATACACACTAGCTAGCTTGTTCAGTGGCGTAGCCAGGATCGTCTTATGGGGGGTTCAATTTTTTTTCAGCATGATATATATATATATATATATATATATATATATATATATATATATATATATATATATATATATAGGGGTGGGGGGGCTATGGGGGGTTGTAACCCCCCTAACCCCCCTGCCTACGCCACTGAGCTTGTTAACCTTCAGTAATGAACTGGCCCGCAGGTCTACGGGTAAGAATCCCGTTGGGCCCCTACGAACTGTGTCCTAATAGTCCAAGTGTTTTGATTTTAAAAATAATAATGTGTTGTTATTTTCCCGTTTTACCATCTCCTTTCCTTTACATAAAGGCGAATTAATTCAGGCTTTTGAGAAGAAATGATGCACTATGAAAATAGAAATCTAGGGGGAAGGGAGGCAGAGGCGTAGCGACGCTTCCCGGCGCCCGGGGACAAACTTTCGATTTGCACTCCCCCCCCCCTCAAACTTTCGATTTGCACACCCCCCCCCCCCCCCAGACTTTCGATTTGCACCCCCCTCGAACTTTTGATTTGCACCCCCCCACCAAACTTTCAATTTGTTTTTCAAATCCATTTCGGCGCCCCTCCTAAGGTCGGCGCCCGGGGAAAAATGTCCCCCCCGCCCCCCCCCCCCCTCGCTACGCCTCTGGAGGGGGGGGGTGCCTTTTAAAATGTCCCGGGCCCCTTAGACACAGCCAGTCCACCCCTGTTAACCTTTATCACGTTTAGCTTAAAACCCAGCATTCAAAAAACTTATTTCCTATTCAAAGAATTGGCTCTTTTTAACCGGAACTAATTCATGACGTCATAAACGTTTCTATTTTTAGAATAAAAAAAAAAAGACCGCGACTTACCGAAATCACGCTCGTAATAATCAGCGCCGGTCAGGAACTTGACTCCGTCGCTCTGGGCGACGGTCAGATCCGTCAGCCAGCAATTTGCATAGCCCGGCTCGTAGTCGAATCCCGCGCACCGGAAGTCCTGCTCGAAGATGCACCTGCGCGCGCATTGTTCTGCGCTGACGTCCGGGATTTTCCGTTTGTGCAGTTTGGTTGTGATGACATGGTTTGGGAGTCGGTTGAAAAGTTTTTCGAAGGCAGCTGCAATTAGGAAAAAAATATAATTAAAAATTGGCAATTAGTTTTTTTTTTTCTTATGGAGGCAATTTATCAGTGTTAAAAATGTAATAATGTAGGAAGAAGGACAGTTAGAAAAAAAAACAAAAAACTTAATAAATAACATTAGCAAAATAAAAATACAACAAATTGCGTCAAGTGGTTTCTGTCAGAAAAGAGAAAAAAAAGATGAAGTTTATTGTCGATTTTGGAATAAAAAAAAACAAAAAAACAAGCGACGACAGAAACTTGAGAAAAGACATCAAGTAAATAATCTTCAGCTTCACTGGTAAATATAGTAGGTGAAGTAGAGTATTTCTGCTACAGTAACCACGATAAAACCGACTTCCTTTTGCCAATGAGACTATTATATTGATTAAACTATAATTTCGTCGGGGTACGGCGTATTCTAGCGGGCGATAGTCAAGGGTTCGAATCCTGGGCTGGAGGCCGTAGGTCGTCCCTTAACTAAACTGTCCCTCATGTTTGTTTTTTCGACTTTTGAAAGACTAATATATAAGGCTAATTAAATAAAAGTATGACAGGGAAAAACAACGGTCTAAACTATCGAATACCTCATGTTTGTTTTTTCGACTTTTGAAAGACTAATATACAAGACTAACAAAATAAAAGTATGAGAGGAAAAATCAACGGTGTAAACTATCGAACACCTAATTAAAAAAAATTAAATTTCTATTTAATCTCAAGATCAATAAACATAAATACAATGTAATAAACATTTGATTTACATATTTGTTTTTTTTATAGGTCTTTCTGTAAGAAAAAAAAATAGTTTTAATCATCGAGTCAAGTGACCTCGAACTCACGACTACTGTATCTAGCAAGCAGATTCATTACCGAATCGACCAGCCTTTGCTATTTTGCATCCAAAACTTAAACATGATAAATGTGTGCATGTCTTGATTATTTTACCCCAGAAAGCTCAGGGCTCTGCACACCCGAATCCATCTTCATTACTTATGCTGAATGCCCTTGTTCCAACGTCTCTACCCCACCACCCCCACCACCCCCACCCCCACCCCTGATCCTTGTTGACGTTGAGGTCCCGATCTTGCCCTGAGCCCCAGGCCGTGTCCTCCTTGTTTACTGTAGGGAGATTGGTCACCAAACAAAGAATGCCTGTCTGTGTTTCCAGACGGACAGACGGACAGACGGACAGACGGACAGACGGACAGACGGACAGACGGACAGACGGACAGACGGACAGACGGACAGACGGACAGACGGACAGACGGACAGACGGACAGACGGACAGACGGACAGACGGACAGACGGACAGACGGACAGACGGACAGACGGACAGACGGACAGACGGACAGACGGACAGACGGACAGACGGACAGACGGACAGACGGACAGACGGACAGACGGACAGACAGACAGACAGACAGACAGACAGACAGACAGACAGACAGACAGACAGACAGACAGACAGACAGACAGACAGACAGACAGACAGACAGACAGACAGACAGACAGACAGACAGACAGACAGACAGACAGACAGACAGACAGACAGACAGACAGACAGACAGACAGACAGACAGACAGACAGACAGACAGACAGACAGACAGACAGACAGACAGACAGACAGACTAGAGATTTTGCGTTTGCGTGGTACGCATCTAATAACACAGGTTTCTGGTGGAACTAGAGATCTATTGTAAGCAATGCTTGGGAACACATGTAACTAATCAAGTTTAGACATTTCGTTGTTGTTGTTGTTATAAGGTAGAATCAATAACCAATTTTATTATTGCTATTGGTATTGTTATTATATTATTATTGCTGTTATTATTATTATTATTACTATTATTTTTGCTGTTATTATTATTATTGTTATTATTATTATTTTTAATATTATTATTATTATTATAACTATTATTATTATTTTCATTATTATTATTGTTATAACTATTATTATTATTGATATTATTATTATTATTATAACTTTGATAACTATTTTCATTATTATTATTGTTATAACTATTATTATTATTATTATCATTATTATTATTATTATTATTATTATACTTATTACTATTATTAATAAAACTATTATTATTTTTAGTATTATTATTATTATTATAACTATTTTTTATTATCATTATTGTTATTATTTTTATTACCGTTATCAGAATGTGGAATTTAGTTAAGTCAATTATTATTGTGACCATTAACATTTTATCTAGACATTGTTTTGGTCTGGAGCTAAAAGCCGAATTTTAATCTCTTTATTCAAACTCAAAAAGATAATTCTAAAAATAAACTTTAATATTTTACGTTTTTCATACCATTTTCAGAACTTAAAAATGACGGTAATGGATGTATAATTTCATATAACAGAACATCAGTATTATATAACAGAAGATTATTTTTTATTTAAGAGAACATTTTGTAAGCTTTGTATTACATCTGCAGAATGGCAGATTTACATGGCTGGATAGAGTTAGTTTGGCTAACACTTCACACACCTTCTACCCCACATCAATGCTCGCACATTTGCTAACAGTTTCACAGATTTGCTTCGCTAAACATCAAAAACATCCCCTACCACTTAAAATTTCTTCACCCCCACACACACACACACTGACCCCGCCCCTTTCAATACTTAACCCCCCCCCCCCCCACACACACACACATACACACCCCTTCTTTACATACACCCAGCTTCTTCCTCCGTACTCCCAGAAAAGATAAAAAAACACGTTCGATAATCACCAGCTAAACTTCAAACACACCCTCCTCCTACAGACATAGCAACATAAAAAAACCCTACCCCTCACCCCCATCCAACCACATCCCCACCTCCACCCAACCACAGCCTAACACCACCACAAACACCGTCCTCTCATTAGCCCGGCTAATCTTCCATCTCCCCGCCTGCCCAAAATGACCCTTGGCCATTTTCTCTTTTAGAATATCATGCCGCTGGCACCGGAAGTCTGCGCATACACACACGCGCATGAAACCTTCAGCAGAACCGTCGCGACTTATATTCACGGAAACGTAAAGGCGTAGATGGGAGGGGGTGATCACAGCACGACATCACTGAAGACACTTGGTGAGGTCACTTCCAGAAGACCCCCCCCCCTAAGACCCCCAGACCCCCATTATTGAATGGACGAGGCAAACCCACTTGACACGATTCAATTTGGAGCGGGTCATGATTAGAACAGAATCTAATCCTACGTCATTTCAACGGCGGGCTCTACTGAGGCTAAGAGGGAGGGAGGGAGGGGGTGGGAGGAAGTGGGGAGTGTTCGTTAAAAGCTTTTACGCGCATGGTCAAAATGGCGAGACCGGAAACACGTGGTTAAAACCTTGTCTTGTCATTAAGAGGAAACATAAGTAACTTGTTTCAAATGAGAATGTAGGCTGACGATTTACTAATGTATGTAACCGGGGGTGTTATGATTTGAAGCGGTGGGGGAGGGGAGTGGCGTTATGTAAAACACAATACATCAGAGGCGTAGTGAGGGGGGGGGGGGGCGAGGGTTGCGGACCGCACCGGGTGACACCATTTAGGGTGTGACACCAAGGCAAAAAAATAGCAAAATATATAGAGAAAAATTTTAGGGGGCGCAAATCGAAAGTTTGAGGGGGGGGGGGGGTGGGTGCTATAACAGTGAAACATTGTAGTATCGTAGCTTGGGAGTGTGTATGGGAGATTTCATCAGAAAGACTGTGGTGTGTGCGCATGCGCGGGAAAAAAAAAAGAGAGAGAAAACATGGCGTAAGTTGGCTGTACACGCTGTCCATGTGGAGACAAAATAAATATGAATATAATGTAAAAGAAGGCTCGTCTTGTAATTTTCGTATGTGATAGATGAAAGGTAGGGAAAAGGCCTGTGGCAAATTTATAGCGTGAACCCAGTCACACAAAAACATTGTGACATTTTGGCGTCAGAAGTGGTCGGTGATCTACACCGTGAAGAAAGAATTTAATCTAGATTTAGTAGTGTAACTGAGTAACTGTTCTTGCATCATTACGATGGATTCCGAGTTCTATGCCAACTGTATTAGGATAGCTGATTTATTAGGATACACTGGGGCAGAGAAGGCAAATTGGATAGAAAAGAAGGTAGCTGATGAAAAATTTAAAAGGGAGGCTGAAAAGGCTAGAGTTAAAAGAAAAATGGAGCTTGAGAAGGAAATAGCTGATATGAAGGCTGAGAATATAAAACTTAAAATGGAGGCTGAGAGGGAAATAGATCTAGCAAGAGCTGAGCTAGAGGCTACAAAGAAAAAATTTAAAATGGAGGCCGAAGACAACGATACACATAGACAGCATGAGTTAGAGTTAGAAAAAAGTAAAAGTAACCAATCTCAAGTACTATTCGTAAACAGAGAGACTAAGCATGAGTCAACAGATTTTTCTCCTTTTGAACTTGAATTATTAAATAAACATGAAGAGGAATTTGATCCTCATGGACTAGTAAACCAGATTAAAGAGAGAATAGTTGATGATGTCCAGACAGCCCAAGAGAATGCACAAGTAGCCATTGAAAGGCACAGAAATATACAAAACAAACATAGCTATTTAAGAACTGGTGAAAGAAGAGATTTAGTTTTTGTCAAACTGCCAGACAAAGAAAACATAGAAGCATCTCAAGGACCTTGTGAAGTAATCAAGAAACTATCTGATGTAAATTATGAAATAAACATAAAGGGAAATAACATTCCTATACACATAGACAGAATGAAGAAATTATATGTAGAGCCAGAGAAACTGATAGAAGATGAATATATGGCCTGTACTATAATAAGTGAAAGCTGTAATACACAAGGAATTAAGACTTATCATATCCCAGTGAAGGAGAAAAACACAATGGACAAAATAATAAATGAATACAAGGATGAGATTACAATAGAAATGGGTTTTACTGAAACAATTCAACACAAAATAGAATTGACTGATTATAGTGCTATGAAAGGGGAACATTACCAAGTACTAGTTGCT